GTCGAGTTGTGATAAACAATGATAAGCAAGGACTTCCTCTGATGGCCAAGAACCTGTTTCAGTAAGAAAAATACATAAACATTCAAAGTGAAGAAGACACAAGTATTTATTATGGGGACTTATCTTTTTGAGTGTGAAGAAAACTTACAAACAAGGCCTGTGTTGTCAATGTCATATGTGTTACAGATCTTAAAGTCATCAAGGTTTGCGCGATTGTCCACTCTCTGACTGCATTGAATTGTATAAATTAGCAATGATTGCATAAGAAGTAAAATCTCTCTTTTTCTGTAATGAACTTAAACCTAAAGAAATACAACAAGAATGAGTTTAAAGGAATCTTACTAAAGGAAAAGCTCGGTTGCATTGTGATTGGGCAATGTATAGCATACACAAGCTTCTTTGGCCTTTGGCAATGAAGGGGAAATCACTTCTTTATGCTCAAGCTTAGTGTTATCAACTAACCTGAAAGGTATCAAGCTGAACCCTTGATTCGCTTTTCTGGTAATACTCTTGATACCTTTTTCAGATTGCTCATCTGCACAGCATTTTCATATGAGATTACGATCTTTTACGTAATCGCTATCATCAATTTTCTAAATCACGTCCCGGATTTCGATATTCCATAAGCGTGAGTTATACGAACAGAGAAATGTTTGAACGTACACAATACCATTATATGAACAGAGAGAAATGCAAAAGGGATCAAGTTAAATTTTAAACAGAAAAGAAATCTATAATTAGCAATCGAATCATTCATAACTTGCTTGGTCAAATTCATAACTTAGAATCAGCTTATATCTCGTTTTGTAGGTCAAATCGTGTGGCAGAGTCGGATCTTACCTGAAGCAGTGGAGGAACTAGAAGGAATTAGGGCTCGACGAAGGATTCCCCATCTTAAAGACGATGCCTTTCTACCGTTCTCCATATGCTCAGTAAGTCAGAATTTTGCTTCCATCCTTTATTTTCGCCAATGCCCTTTTCGTAAAACCACAATTAATTAATTAATTAATTTATTATTATTATTATTATTATTATTATTATTATTAATGTATGACATGTTAAAATTTGTACGTGTTTTTACTTTTCACCGTTTACAAAACTTGATTTATTTTTGGGAAAATATTTAAAAAGGTAATGAAGTTTTAAAAATTTACAAAAAATACTATTGTTTTTTTTTTTTTACACAAAGTACTATTTTACAGGCTATTGTAGGTTACTCACAAGGTTTTATTTGAACATATGTGTACTTCATTGGTATTTTGTGTACAAAAAATATACTTTAATAGTATTTTGAGTACTAAAAATAAAATAATGATATTTTTTTACAATTTTAAAACTTTATTACCTTTTTAAATCATTTTCCCTTTATTTTTCGATTCATCCCACAAAACTTGATTCCTTTTTTCATTAGCGAAGTTCCATGTTTACTTTTGTAAAGGTTTTGATTGAAGATGCAACTCGATGTTTAGATCGTCTCGTCATTATTTTAAACACTAATTAAAATGTGATTATTACTATATAGGATTTTAGGATGCATTAGAATTTTATGTGGTAATGTTTTATTAATAATACTGTGTGAAACTGTGATATACATAATAATGGTGTATATTGAAAAGCTATTACTGTTTTTCAGTTAAAAAATCCTACCGAGACTCACTCAAAACACATTGTACTTCGTTTTTTTTAACCACCAAAACAATTAACCTTTGAGAGTTTTTTATTTTTCATAAAAAATCACTACATAAAAAATTGGATTTGTAAAAACTATTATAGTTTGGAATTTGTTTGGTTTAACCGTTTAAAGAATTTTCCTTTATGATTTAACCATTCAAACTTTATATATATATATATATATATATATATATATATATATATATATATATATATATATATATATATATATATATATATATATCCTAAAAAAACCATATTTAACAAAGAGAAATATTGATGTTTGCTACTCAATACAGGAAAAAAACTGTGTGGTTATTTTGGAAAAAAAACTTTTAGTAGTTAAATCTAAAAAAAAAAAATCTTTTAGTGGTTAAAGCGAACAAAAAAATCAAACTATAATGATTTTTATGTAATTTTTTCTATTTTAAATGGGTCAAATTAATGGATCGGGTATCCCATGACAGATTTATAAATTTTAGTCATGGATCACTAGCATTTAACAATATGATAGGTTTAGATAACATATTTTTTATATACAAAAGCTAAACTTCCATACATACTAATTAGTAGCGGGATCAAGAACGAAATCGGCAGAATCCATCACACATAAAAGATTAAATAAAATAAAAGACATTTTATTGATGTTGGGGAGAATCAAAATCCAAGAAGCCCAATGTGTATGTATTTAAATTCCTAGCTCATCTAGGGCACACAACCTTATAATTTTATAATTTTCTTTTAAGGCTCTTTAACCCTTCCCTCCCCTCTCTTCTTTGTGAGCATTGTGTCTGCCCCTTGGATATTTATTGATTTGATGGATCCAGACATCCGGTTATTTTTGTGAGTTTGATTATTCAAAAATCTTTAGGTTATTAATGTAAAGTATATCAAATTTTAAAATTTATTAGAAAGATTTGAATCAAGGTTGATTCGCAGGTTAATCTTTAATTGATATATATATATATATATATATATATATATATATATATATATATATATATATATATATATTAACTTCAACATATCTATAAGATGTGATGTATACAACTAATGAGCTTGAACAATATGTATTGGAAGTTAGTGAATAATAAATTTGAGAAGAAGAAACTTTACTAGAATAATTTTTATAAAATCTTTTATATATATATATATATATATATATATATATATATATATATATATATATATATATATATTTCAATAAAAATTATGTTATACCTATTTTTATTTTATATAACAAAGACATAATTAAACATGGTTTTTTAGAATTTGCATGGTGAATATAAATATCAAAATGCATATGCACTTGATCCTTGTGGTCATGTATGGTTGGTCTTTTTGTCAGATTTTATTAGAAAATAGATGTTATGTCTAAGATAAATGACCAAAATACCCTTAATTTTATTGTTTATATTCTTTTACCATTTTATAGACTACATGGACTAAGTAAATAGACAGAAATAAATAAAATAAGAACTCTAACGTTTTCATCCTCCCATTGTCAACTTTACCCTCCAACCCTAAATGCTACCTACAACCACCGCACTACCTTCGGCGCTACCTACAACCTATCATCATCATCGTTCACCCTTGAATCAAGGGGTATCAGACACCACCCTACTGCTTCTCATTTTTTCCCTCATTTCCGACGACTCCACCAATGATCTAACCTCATTCTCCAACCCCGTGTAAATTATCTTTTAATGTTTTTTATAAATATCCTCCATCGATCTTCAACACGTTTGCCCTTTACCAATAAATCTGTCGATGGTGATGGTAAGACTGTTTCATAAATATCAACTTCAACCCTATATAAATGGTTTTTAAAAGATTTTTTTGGAAAGATCCGTACACGTTTAACCCCTTATAAACGAAACTTTTTATGTTTCCAAGCTCTTTTGGGATAACCCCGGATAAACAGTTTTCAAAAGAATGATTTTTGCATTAGTTGTATCAGAAAGATCGAATACAAAAATGTTAACCTTGATACAGAAATACTGACCTTGATAGAACCAACAATAAGTTCATGAATGTATTTGTTTCTAATTTTGTAGTTTCTCATTCTTTTAATTTCTTATTTTTTGTTCACACCTATAACCGTTGTGTCGTGTGCATAATTGGAAATTCTTGTTTTGATTTAGAACATATTCTCATCTTAGCCTTTGAATATTGATCTTGAAATTATGAGCATAATGGATTTAAGACTAGGGTTCTTATGGTTAAATTTGTTGCAAATCTTTCAATTTTTTAAGGCGGTTTACACTTCACATATGAGTAAGGAGTAAGGTTTTGGGTTTATCTGTCGATCGAAAAAAAAGGCCGAGGAAGGGATGTTGAAGGTAGGGATGTAATCGATCTGAATCGATTCAAGTATTGGCAAACTCGAAACTCGACTCGAACTCGGCTTAAGCTTAATAAAGTAATCGAGACTTTCGACTTTGGCTCCACTGACTTGATTAACTCTTGAAAAAAATACATTAAATTACAATAAAACTGCATGTGAGTTCAACTCAACTCAGCTATTTAATATGTAAATATGAATAAAACAAAGAGTAAAAGTACAAATATAACAATGCTCGGTTAAGCCCACAAGTTTTATGATCCGAGTATTCCAATACTCAAGCTCGACTGATGATGTACTCGAGTAGCTTGAGCTCAAGCTTCACTTGACTTGAACCGAACCAATTTCGAGTATTTTTGGAATCAGTCTTGAGTATCTCATGATTTGGTCCGACTAATTTACACCATTGACGAGTGAGTGAAGATGAAAATACATGGGTGGCTTCCAAAAGGAAATTTGGGTGGGTCCTATGTTATTTTGTAACGATAAAAAAATAAGATTGTTAGGTGTGAGCAACGAACGTTTGAGAAAAAAAAAACGGCGATTTTAGGATGTTGTGGTACGGGAAGCAACATGCATGTCTATAAGGCGTAAAAACGATGAAGGGGACGGTGTTTGTGCTGTCATAACGCACAAAAACGTCTAGGTGGGTGTTGCCCATATCTACCAGTCTAAATATAAATAAGAATAATCATAAATAAATAAATAAGAACACAATGGTCATTTTTAAAAAATAACAGTTCAAAAATATATAATATTTAATATATGAAGGATCTATCAAACTAACAAAATGAAACCACGGGACCAACCATATACTTGTTTTGATAATTGTCAATCTCGAGTACAAAACACATAAACGAATTATGTAATTATGTCTATGATAAAACAATAAATAATTTTCAAAGTTAACAAACACATTATGTGGGCAGATTACATAGAGTCAAAATCAACCCCAACGACTATGTGGGCGCACCAAGTAACCTATCAAACTATGTCTTCTTTATGAAGTCGCTCTTATGATATTTAATACCTAAAACCCCCAGTTCCATCTCTGCAAATTTAATTGGTTTTCCAAAACCTTTCAATCTCCACGACCACCCGCTATGAACACTCAAACAAGGTATGCAAACATGAATTAAGATTGACAAATTTTTCACAGACGGGCTTTAAATCTTTAATGCTCTGTGTTCTTGTCCTTCTTGTAGTTTAGGATCAGAGATTCCAAACGCTCACATCGTGATAAAGCAATGGTGGATTCCAATCATCTATCTTCTTCTTCTCTTCCAACCGTGTAGCGCAGAATCAGAGATCTTCACCATTGATGTTCACAGAGCGAACTCTCTTCTCAACAATGGCAACTACCATTATCTTGACGTCAGGTAATTACTTCGTATTTATTCTAATTCAGATTGAATCACTACTTTCGTGATTTTGTTTACGAACTATTACTTCTTTCATGTTGTTTCTCTTTATAATTTGTAAATTTTTTATCCTTATCTGATGACAGGACTTCGGAGGAGTTCATGAAAGGTCATATCCACGCCGATGATGCTCTTAATATTCCTTATATGTTTAATACCCCTCAGGGTAATTCTACCATTTTTCTCCATGAATATTATCGTTTTGCTATGAATCGGAATACAATTGTTTTTTTCTATAATCATGTTATTTTGTTCTCAAAAAATACGTTTTCTTGATAAATAGAAGTAATGTTGACTTGCTGAGATTTCAGGTAGAGTGAAGAATGTCAATTTCTCGGAACAAGTACTCCAATTGTGTAAAAAGGATGATCATCTTGTTGTGGTAAATCAAATGAATAAGAAAATACTTTTCTTTTTGTTCAAAAATATAATTTTAAAATTTAACCTTTTGTCTCGTATTGGATTTTTATGTGTTAAGGGTTGTCAATCCGGCGTTCGTTCTGTATATGCAACAACCATTCTTCTTGATGCGGTAAGTTTTGTTTTCACCTAAAAATTAGTGCTTACTTTTCTCATCAATATATTTTTTTAGAGCATATATATATATATATATATATATATATATATATATATATATATATATATATATATATAAATATTTGTAGGGATTCAAACATGTATATAACATGGGAGGGGGATATCTTGCGTGGGTAGAGAATGGTCTACCAGTGGCTGTGGTGACACCCAAAGTGGAGCTCTAAGTCCTTTTGCATGATTGTATTCAATTTGATTATTTGAAGCATTTTGGAAGTATTGAGTTAGATTTGACATTTTAGTTGCATGCACACTTCGATTTTAGTAGAAATTCATGAAAAGTAGTTAATTTTAATTTCAAACATGTAAATTGCTCGAATTACACCTAAATTACGAAGTGACTTTAAAAACTGGAGCCCTTAGAATTATCCCAGTTGGGCTCTTCAAACTTTAAAGCTGTCCAGACCTGGAATTGAAGTCCATCCAGCACTCCAGTTGTTTCCGCATGTTGTGTTTAAGTATATCTATGTATAGTGGGTTTCTTATCTTCCAATATAGAAGGGAATTCTGAACTTATGATACGTGCGTGAATCCGCCATTACTGCACTGGTTGCACTTGAAGAATGTGCAATTGCAATCAAAGCAAGCAATCCTCTTCCTCCTCTGTGGCTTCTTCTTGATTTGCTTGGCTTGGCAGTGAACAAGGGATGAATAATGGCTGGGTGAGGAATGCGAAGATTGCATTTCCGAGAGCCCAGGACTTAATAGCTGCGTTCTTATCTTCGTCAAGAAACTCTTTATAACTTGAGTTGGGTCCTGGATTGCAAAGGAAGATTGTGGGTATCCCGCCTTTAACTTTAAAGGGCTTTCCGTATCTTCTATTGTACAACCAATCACTTTTAGCCCCCATGAATGACTTAAAATGTTTTAAATGACGCGGATCAACATTATCAATGACGTTGTACCAGGCATTATTGTTGTAAGTTTTTGGGCTTATATCATAATGACCGCATAAGTAATTGTGTGGGCCTAATGATCTAGCCCATGTTGTTTTTCCAGTTCTAGAATCACCTTCTACAACTATACTCATAGGTCGGTGAGGCCTCCCAGAGGCACTGACAACGTTTTCTTCAACCCAGTCTTGAAGAATGTCAGGTACGTTGTTAAATGTACTGGATACAAAAGGAGAAACATATATTGCAGGTGGAGCCTGAAATATCCTATCCAAATTAGCATTTAATCTATGAAAACGTAAATAATAATCTTTTGGGCGTTTTTCCCTAATTATCTCTAAGGCTGCTGTTTTAGACCCAGAATTTAGGGCTTCTGCGTAAACATCATTAGCCGATTGTTGACCCCCTCTTGCAGTTGCAGATCTTCCATCGATCTGGAATTCTCCCCAATCAATTGTATCTCCGTGCTTCTCGATGTACGATTTCACGTAGGAGCTGGATTTACCTCCCTGTATGGTTGGATGGAAGTGTGTTGACCTGGTTGGAGAGACAAGATCGAAGAATCTGTTATTCGTGGATGTGTACTTCCCTTCGAATTGGATAAGCACGTGGAGACGAGGTTCCCTGTTTTCATGAACTTCTCTGCAAATCTTGATGTATTTCTTGTTTACTGGGGTATTTAGGTTTTGAATAATTGAGAGAGCTTCCTCTTTTGTAAGAGAGCAGTGGGGATATGTTAGGAAAATATTTTTAGAAGAAATGCGAAAAAGAGAACTCGTTGGCATATTTGTAAATAAATGGATGCCACCAATTGGTCTCTCTTCACTTCCCTCTAGACATCGGTGTATATATAAGTGTGGAAACCTCCGCGCTAAACGGAAGACCATATGCTTTAATTTGAAATTTTAGATTTTGAGTGCCTGAAACTTGCTTAGGAATGAGCGGGAGTTTGTACTATCCGACAAAAAGTGGTCCTAAAGTAAAAGTAAAGTAAATAATTTAATTTAATTTCTATGTAAACAAATAATTGATGGCGTGATTGATTTAACTTCTAACGAATTTGATATGTTTGATTTGGGTTGAAAAATGTTGGACTCGGTCCATAAAAAATTGGAGATTTGGCCCCCTCTTCCAAATTGAAGGATCGGGAACATTACAAGCAATTCCAATATTGCCCTAATACAATCGTTTCCTCCATAATAAACAGAAACAGAGAAAAAAAAGCGTTTGTCCCTGCTATCGCCTTCACAGCCTCCGACGTCTTCCTCCGGTGAGAAGAAATCGAGTGTGTTTTTGTCATTCTGTGTGTTGGTTCGAAGTGTGAATCAAAATGTCTCATTCCCTATACAAAATTCCTCGATCTTCGCAAAACATAAATGATCTCCTCTCCTGCACAAAATTAGTTATTCGTGTTTTCTTTTTGTGTGTATGTGTGTTAATGAAATGCTAAGGGTGCGTTTAGTTGCGGAAAAATGAGCCGTTTTCCGAAAAAAATTTCCAAGAAAAATGAGAATTTTGAAAACGCGTTTAGTTCGTCTATTTTTCTAAAATTTTCACGGAAAATGAAAATTTTCCGTTTTCTGAAATTACAAAGAAGTTGGAAAATTTTGGAAAACTGATAATCATTGTTTTCCATATTTTTCTAATTCCAAAATTTTTCTATAAACATATATCCACTCCACCCCATCCACCTCTATCTACCTCCACCCCTACACACACACATACATACCCACCCCCACACACACCCACCCGCACACACACACACACACCAACCTACAAACACACACACACACATACATACATACCCACTCACACACAAACACACACCCCAACCCACACACACATACATACCCACCCACACACACCCACCCACATACACAAACACACACACACGGACACACCGACCCACACACACACACACACTAACCCACACACAAACACATACATACCCACCCACACATAAACACATACATACCCACCCACAAACACACACATACATACCCACCCACACACACACACACCAACCCACACACATACACATACATACCCACCCACACATACATACCCACCTACACACACCCACCCACATACAAACACACACACACATACATACCCACCCGCACACCCCCCCCCCCCCCCCCCACACACACACATATACACATGCATACCCATCCACACACACACACCTCCACATACACATACATACCCACCCCCACACTCACCCATCCGCACACACACACACACACACACCAACCCACAAACACACACATACACATACACACCAACCCATAAACACACACACACACATACACACCAACCCACAAACACACACACACACACATACACACCAACCCACAAACACACACACATACACCAACCCACACATACCAACCCACAAACACACACACATACACCAACCCACACATACATACCCACCCATACACACACACACACAAACCCACACCTACCCCCAGCCCCACCCTTACAGACACACACACACCCCCACACACACAAACCTACACCTACCCCCACAAACACACACTCACACCCCCACCCACCCAACACCACCACGACAATCACCGACGTACCATCACCACCACCACCACCACTAACCCGTCACTAGCACCACCACCACTGCTGCCGCCACCATCACCACCACTGACACAATTGCCGCCGCCACCACCATCGCCTGTCATCACCACTACCGCCGCCGATCCGCTACCGTCACCACCACCCACTCCCTACCACCGCTACTGTTTTTTAAAAATGAAAACCGATAGAAAAATACACATCTAAACACGTTTTCTAATTTTCTAAAACTGAAAATGAAAAATGAATAAGTTTAACTAAACGCGTTTTCTAAATTTTTCAATGAAAAATGAAAACGGAAAACGAAAATCGAAAAGGGAAAACAAAAAACGGAAAATGAAAATTGTTTTTCCGTAACTAAACGCAACCTAAATCTCTTGTTAGTACTAAAGGTTAAAGTTTTTAATATCTAAAACAAAAGATTTTTTAATGGTATGTTATAAGAATTTTTGATAAGAGATTTGTTTAGATATATCACGTTAAATTATACAAACTAGTGAGTGAGCCCATTTTAATTGGGTTTATTGTAGTCAGTTATCAAGGTGGATAAATTGAATGATCACTACTACTTAGTGTAGAATTAAAAGTGAAATAAACAACTTTCCATAAATGGCATTAAAGACAAATCCCATATCCCCACTGAAAGGACTACATAAGTAACAACATTAATAACAGTTCATCTCCACAATAGAACATCATCTTCTACATCAACCCTAGAAACCAAAAAAATGAAAACCGAAGATATGCAAACAATGTTTCAAGCACTGATTGAGCACCTGCAATGAATTTCAATTTTGGTCAAAGACAAAATGGTCATTTAACAAAAAAACTAGCATAGTAGTTGGCTTTATTGATTCAAGCATCAAAATAGTTATAAACCATCAAAATACACAAGAAAATTTGCAAACCATTTGCATTTGGGACCAAAAATGGAAAAAAGCAAGTATTAACCGAAGGAGCTTGTGTAATTTACTCTAACAAAATAATAGATCACAACCCTTTAATTTGAAGATACCACAAATCGATCATCAGTGCACAAAAGCATTTTGGTAGTTTCCAACATCTTTCTTGAAAAATATACTCACTATGAGTATAAGGAACAACGTCATTCTAGGTGTCATAAGTAAAGAAAATAAAATAACCTATCTCTAGGACAAATCTGTTGAGAAAAGTTTCCGTGTCAGGTTTGACATCTGGGTCGTAGTTTTCATTGATGGTCAATGATGCACTCGTGTGCTACATTGTTTTCAAGTATGGATGCATGCATTATTAGAAAAACATATGTTTACTTGATGATGATCTTTTGTTCTTCTTTAACTCAACCGACAAAAAAATAAATTACAAAAGAAATTTGCAATACCACATTTAAATCCAAAAAAATCTCTTCAATTTCCTTTAAGATCCGGTGCAACCGATGAGTAAATATGTATCAGTTATCTTAGCAAAATGAGAGATCAAAGCAAATGTGATACTTTTGATATTAATACTTTTTTCTTTAAATGAACTCAACCGAATATTAGTGATTTTTAGGGAAGCTATATAAATATTACAAGCCTGGATAGAAACCAAATGAAAAAACTTTTTGACACATCAACATTCTTCATTGGACCCACATGTCATACTCAATTCAGAGAATAGTTAGTCCTTAATAATATGATATTTGATCATGAACAACCTCAGTAAGTAACTAACCAATTCTTACAACTTGGCTATTTAATAGTTATGTAATTCCTTGCATATTTGTTTACAAAAATGACATTCTCATCGTCATAAATTGGACAAAGAGCCTTTTTGTCATGTTTCACAAGTCTACCATGTGACTTATTGGAAGATTTTGATACCATTTCAAGCCTCATGTTGTTTGGAATGAAGAAATTGAAAACATGTTTGATTAATTTTGCATCATACACTTTGTGTGCAAAATCCTTTATATAATGTGCTCCGGTGGATATATAAAAAAACTCACTGAAATATTTATATTGATAAAACTATATCAGTTATAAAAATATATAATAAATGACGAGGATATACAAAAAGATAACAGAAAGAGATGCCTAAAAACTCTGCAGCATATTTATTTTGGGGTTGTTCTTTAGCAAATTGTAAATTCCATATTTGCAATGTGTTGAAATTCTTTATAATTGGAGTGAGTTTTGATAAAATAAAACCATTGAGCCTTTCATGCTCCATTTTATTTTCTGTTCTCATAAATCAATCACTCAATCTGTAAAATCGAGGACATGTTGTGGATTAAGAACTGCTTACCAGTTACTAATTACCACTACCATATATGAATATTAAAAGAAATTCGTTACCTTATTTTGTCCCTCTTTCTTGTGTATCTTCGCCTATATACTCACATTAAAAAAGTTTGAGAAAAACAATAATGTAGCCTAAGTAATGGAATAATACAAAGCAGATGCTGCGAAAAGACAATTTGTTTCACACTACAAAAGTAATAAGGCTAATTTGCTTTCTCTTTTGACACGAGAATACGACTCGTAATACAAAACCTAAACCCAAATAATAAGGCTAATTTTCTATTGTGACAAATATAAGAAAACAAAATAATAATAATAATAAGGTCTAATCGATGGAATAACCAAAAGCATATCATGTGATTTGTTCTGCAAATTAAATGAGATTACTCTCCATACATATAAACACTTGTTTTTATTCTTATACAATCAACACAATTACACAGATGTATAAAATCAAACACTTACTATGCGTAAAAAATTAGACGAGAACCAAAATAAAGGACGAAGTATGAAGGAATAAAACCTTCCTTGTTTTCAATCTTTAGTGAAATAAAACATCTACTGTAGAGCAAAACATAGAAAATCGATCTGATACAATCAACAAAATTACACACAGTAGATTTCACATATCAAACGAAAGAAGAAAGTCAGAAGAGAAACCTAAAGAACAATAGAGTCGACGGTGGAAAATCAGACAAACGAAAGTGGTGATAGACGGAGGTCGGTATTTGGAAAATGCAAATTGTGTCTATCAGAAGTCGATATAGTGAGTGGTCCATTGCTTGTGAGTGAACATCTTCATCTGCTCTTTCGTCATCATTGTCTGTGAATGAGAATTCATCCGCCATTGTTGAGTGCAGGTGAGAGTGTGAAAGAGGAATTTTGGGGGATATATATTCTACTATCTTAAGGGGAGGCCGTGAGGGTTTACACTGTGTAACGGTGATGGCCGATGGAACGATTCGTGCTTAAAGCGGATTGGAAGAAGATGCGGTGACCCCAAAGCCCAAATCGACATCGCCACAAACATGGGTTTTAGGACGTGTTGAAAATCGATAGGGATGAAAGTTGAGAAAGTGTAAAAATGTGGTGGCCAAATTCGGAAGTGCACAAATGGACTGTTTATAATTGCGATGGAAATTAATAGGCGAAAAGAAAAAAGAAAAGAAAAAAAAATCCTACAAAGCTAGCCCCCATCTTTTTGGATTACTTTTCTCGTCGTGACGTGTGTTTTTGGGCCCACCAGATAGGAGTCACACTCTATCTTCTTCATCAATCATCATGCACCTTCTTTTCTATACCTAACAACATTTCAAGCTCTATCTCTGCAACACACCACAAATCCTCAAAACCTTTCGCTCTCCCTCTTCCTCTCCATCATGGACACCAAATCCAGGTAGATAAAGTACATGATTTGAATTTCATTATTATCTACCGAGATAGATCACTACTCCTTGCTTTTAATCCCCTCTTTTGATTCAATCTTGTAGCTCAGAATCAGAAGTCGTCACCATTGATGTTCTAAAAGCTAACGATCTTCTCCGTAACAGCGGCTACCGTTACCTTGACGTCAGGTATTGATAATAAGTTTTTCTATTATAATTGAATCACTCCTTTGATGATAATATATTATATATACGAGCTTTTATTTTGTTATTTTCTGGATTTTTTGATTGATAGGACTGAGGAAGAATTCAAGAAAGGGCATGTTGATTTCGATGATGCTCTCAACATTCCTTACATGTTCAACACTCCTGAAGGTTACTTTTGTTCCCATTTTTTCACAAAAAAATTGTTAATAATAATAAAAATTGTGTTGATTTTGGAGAAAATTTGATCGTGTTGTTTCAGGTAGGGTGAAAAATCCCAAGTTCATGGAACAAGTGCTACCAGTGTGTTCAAAGGATGATCATCTTGTTGTGGTAAATCATATGCATAATAGAATAAATATTCTCTATGTGAAAATTTCAAATATAGACAACATGTTCATTAATCTATAATTTTTCTTCATTCTAACTATTGGAATTTTGTATATGAAGGGTTGCCAATCAGGGGTTCGATCTGTATACGCAACAATTGATCTTCTTAATACAGTAAGGATTATCGAAAATTTTAAGTATTTCAAAATATATTTAACATAGTATTTCAAAATCCTTTTAGTAAGGATTATCGACAAATTTTGACTTGTAATCACGTATGGAAATCTAGTAATTACTCACATACGACTTGTAACAACTTTTTTTTTTTTTAAAGGGATTCAAGCATTTATACAACATGGGAGGTGGATACCTTGCATGGGTAGAGAATGGGCTACCTGTGGCTGTAGGGCCCATCGTCCAAACGAAGCCCGATCCAGTCACTTCTGGCCCGAAAACCAGCCCGGAACTGGTCCAAACAAAGCCAGATGCGGTTCTTTCAGGACCAACCAATTAATGATGGTTTCATAAAATTTGGAGGAAACTGATCTAAGGTTCAATTATGCTTAACCGGGGTTCAGGGTCCGATCAAGTTACTTGCTTTTTATAAATATATATCTAATTGGAATTAAGAAATTGTTAAACGAATGTAACTTTATAAAAATTTACTGAATTAGAGTAAAAGTATTGTTAAAAAACGAATTATTAGTAGGGTTTTTTGGTAAAGAAAAACAAAAGGCCGGTTTGAGGGAGACCGCCGGACCGGTTATGCAAAAGCATTTTAGGCAGGACGGGAAGGCCCGTGGCTGATTGAGCACCACAAGTGGGCCTCAAAGCCCTTCATTTCATATCTTAGAACAATGCTATTTATTAATTTTATTTAATATCAAAATAATCAAATGCGATATAAACTTTGATTATTAATAAAAAAAAACACCCTTTTACTTCTATAAAAACACATACGTTTAAAACGAAATGTAAAACGGCTAGTTTTGTGTGAAGTTTATTAGTTTTGTCATTTAAACACGTTAGGAGTAAACATATACATACTAATCGAAATAGGTGACAGTGTAGATTGAGACCATGAACATTTTATTTGTCAAAATTATTCTTAAATTAACCAATTTATATTTTTCATTTAAACAATATAAGACGAAAACGACATAATTGATATGTATATCGTTTATCTTACAAAACACAAATTATTTGATATTTACCATAGGATTTTGTTTGATAACATTTGGTCACATACGTTTCTAAGTTGTACTTGGCCAATTTAAAAAACAGAATAGGAAAGTGAAGGATAAAAGATGTTTTAATTTATGTGGTTAATGTCATAGTTCTATATAAATAGTTCGGAAACAATTCATATCTTTAGAAGAACGAGCGTGACAATGTCTAGGGATTGCTTCTTCCTAATATCGAACTTTGACTTCTAAAGATTAGTGAACTAAACCATCTGAGCGGCCAACGTTAAACTACTACATGAACTTTGATCTCTATTCTCTAGGTTTAGAAAACACTAGTCCCAATGTGACATTAACCGACTCTATAACAATCAAACTGTAAACTTTTGAGATTGACTTGCGTTTATAAGAGTATAAGCATATGCATTGCATACCTTCATGGTTGATTTATTAGTTTGAGTTGTTTATCGTGAAATATTTCTCTCCCCAACTTTTTATATTAATGAGAGGTGATGGTCTATGTGTTACAGCAAGTTTATCAATCATATATTTTATACTGAGTAAACTAATAAGGTTGGTATGTAATATTACTTGTGTAATTTATTGTAGTATTCCGAAAATCAAGGAATTTAATTTTTTTTAAAACCAACCATGAACTATCATTGTTTACAAAAATACCCATTGTTTCAAAAATAACATAATATCATAGTATCCCAAATAAACCAATCATGTGAAAATAAGAAGATGTGCACGATCAGGCATTCGCTTTCCCACAATCCTCAAAAGTACCTTAAATCATAAACTAAAACTGTAAACCAAAGTTTAGTGAGTTCTCCCAAAGCATCAACACACCACATAACAAACAAACATACAAATATGAGCAGCCAACCTGATTGGACCGCCTCGCACGGCCTACAACCTATCTGGACCGCTCTACGAGCATTCGGCAAGACTGGACCACCTCGCAAGGCCTACAACTTATCCAGATTGCTCTACGGGCCGTCGGCCTGACTGTGCCGCCTCATAGGACCTACGGCCTATCCGGTCATCCCCAAGTGTCTTGGCCTACAACACAAAGCAGGATCGCCTCAACCCAATACAATATGTCGACATATGTAATAGATAAACATAAATACAGAGCCATCAGATACAGATAATCATACGGATCTACTAAACAACTACAAACTAGATAAACATTATCCTAACCTGGATAAATAATCTAGTGAGCCAACATTGGTGCCTTCGACCCACATGTAAAGTGTGAAAAACTCACCTCTCAGTTTGAATGCAAGCTGAATAAACCTCTGCTCTAAAAATCAGCTCAACGATCACCTAACAGATACCGAGGACCTAATCTTAATTAACAACTCAAAATACCCAAAATAACCCTAGATCAAACTTGGTCAAAGGGCAAAGTCAATGAGTCACTCAGTCAACTCTGCTAAGTACGTCTGACATACTCAACTTATAATTTGGGCGTACATGATCCTTGACCAAGATCGGGCGGTTGACCCCGTACGCACCGAGGTCCCTTTTTCCATAATAAGAGCTTAATGTGTTAAACTCTTACGTTCCAATTGTAGATCCAAGGCCATATTACCACTGAGAGTCATAAAGTTTCCAACTTTATGACTATGCATGCCCATTAAGTGTCTAATACCAATAATCATAACTTCTTAATACCTAAAGACATTCTAGAGTATGTATGGGGAAGAACTAAGCATCAGGATCCTCATTTTTATGACTCACGACCCCTCATTGGGTCTGAAAGGACAAATTATTTGGTTAAGAGCATGTCATGCTCAATAATCACCAAGGTTGGGATGAAAATGCCCTAAATGAAGGAATAACTAGATCTATAAGAAAAGATGATCAAGCTAGGAGATTTTTACATCCTGAAGGTTGTTAGCAAGGTGAGAATCCCATATCTAAAGTTCTTCCAAGCTCCAATGTCCTTCCACCACCACCTTCTTCTTCAAGAACACCACCAAAAGACACAAATGAGCTCAAGGTGCACTCTCCACATGTAGGGTTAGCTAAAGGGATGATTTTTAGGTAGAGGCTGATGAGGGTGAAGGTCTTGGGGCCATAAAAGGGATTATATAGGGTGCAAACCATCAAAAATAGGGTTTTGGTCTAAACAGCATACGCCTCGCGTACCTACTGAGTACGCCCAACGTATGCGTGCGAATCCCGCATTCTTCATGCATGAGTACGCCATGAGTACCACCCAAGTACACATGATGTACAGACCAGAAAGGCAAAACTTAAAAATTTAGGGTTAGAAATGAACCTTCTCGGAACGGGTGTTACAATTCTCCCCCACTTGAACTATACTTCGTCCTCGAAATCCGATGTTGCAAATAACTCAGGGAAATGCTCTCGCATCTCCGCCTCCAGTCCTAGGTCTACTCGGAGACTTTTCGATGGTGCCACTGAACCTTTACCAAGGGTATCTCCTTGTTGTGTAGGACCTTCATCTTTCTCTTTACTACCACTATCGGCCTCTCAATATAATTCAAGCGCTCATCGACATGGATATCATCCAAATGGACCACTACCTCATTATCCAACACACACTTCCACAACTGCAAAACATGAAAAGTGTTATGGATCTGACTGAGCTCACTCAACAAATCCAAGTGGTAGGCTACCCTTCCTACCTTGGAAATCAAATGGAAAGGTCCAATATACTGGGGACCCAATTTCCCCTCTTCCTGAAGCGTATGACACCCTTCCAGCGTGCTACCTTCAATAGTACCATATCGCCGACCTAGAATTCCAACTCTGATAGATGTCGGTCGACATAGCTCTTCTACCGAATTTGAGTCATCATCAATCTCTGCCTGGTCCGCTGGGTGAGCTCTGTGATATGGAGGAATACCCCAATCCTTCCCATGACTTTGTGAACAACCTCCCCACAACAAAATGGGGTACGACATCTCTGACCATACAGAAGCTTGAAAGGAGGTGCATAAATGCTGGAGTGATAACTTTTGTTGTAAGAAAACTCTACAAGAGGTAGGTAAGAATCCCAACTTCCACAAAAATCTATGACACATGCTCGTTACATATCCTCAAGTGTCTGGATGGTCTGCTCACTCTGGCCGTCAGTTTGCGGATGATAAGCAGTGCTGAAATGCAGCCTCATACCCAGTTCCTCGTGGAACTTCTGCCAAAATTGTAACGACATAAATTTCAAAACCAATTTTTTTCATTTTTACAATCATCAAAAGCATCGAGTAATAAATTTAGGTTCCAATGTAACAATATAGTCACGACCAATTACATAACAAAGATCACAAAATGGTTTCCCCGAGTGTGTGTACGATCACGCCGGCGCCTTCCCACGGTCCTCGCTAGTACCTGAAACACATAACACAACAATTGTAAGCATAAATGCTTAGTGAGTTCCCCAAAATACAACCTACGCACATACGCCTTTCCAGGCCCTGACCTTCCGGTCCATGTGTCTCAGGGGACTTCCGTCCCGCCTGGGTAAACCTTCCGGTCCTACCCACGTAAACCTTACGGTCCATATTACCACGCCTTCCGACCCATAACATATTGCCTTCCGGCCCATTTCAAGCATATCATACATGACACATATAACGAATAACTTATTACACATATGGCATATATCTCATATCATAATCGACCTTCCGGTCACACAGTCAAACCCTTCCGGGTACAGTATAGTGAGAAGACTCACCTCGTATGTCTCAATAACTCGTGAACCCTATAAATCACTTGTGCTCGAACCCCCAAGCTGTAATCCTCCTCAAGAAGGTTCCCTTGATGTAATAGAAGCAGATCCAAGCTCCCAAACTCTTCAAGCTTGATCTTCTCCTTCCTTCTTGCAAAAATCACACAAAATGATGAACAAATAGCCTCTAATCTCACTCACAAAGTCTCTCAGCCGTTTGGGTGCACTCAGGGCTCAAGGTGGCCGCAAATGAAGGCCATAAGGTCCTTTAAATAGGGATTAGGACCGAGAAATTAGGGTTTCATTAAACAGTGCGGACTCGCCGAGTCCATCCCTTGGACTCGTCGAGTCCGGAGGCGAACCTCCGTCCAAAACCGCGACCAGACTCGACGAGTTCAACCTCCAACTCGCCGAGTCCCCTCACAGAATACCAAAAATATGAAAGTAAAGATACCTGGGGATCCGGGCTGTTACAATTCTCCCCCACTAGAACAAGACTTCGCCCTCGAAGTCCCGCTAGGCAAATAGCTCCGGATGCTACTCACGCATCTCACGTTCTGACTCCCAGGTCATCTCTGATCCCTTCTGATGCTGCCACTGAACCAATACCAAGGGTACCTCCTTGTTCCTCAAAACCTTGATCTTCCGATCTCTGATGGCTACTGGTCTCTCAGGATAATTCAGGCTCGCATCCACCAGAATATCCCCTAATGGAACCACCGCCGATTCGTCGGCTATACACTTTCTCAACTGCGACACATGGAAAGTGTCGTGAATCTGCCCCAACTCTGCTGGCAAGTCTAAACGGTAGGCTACTCGGCCCACCCTCGCGATCACACGGAAAGGACCAATATATCGGGGCCCCAACTTGCCCTTCTTCCTGAATCGAATCACTCCTTTCCAAGGAGAGTCCTTCAGGAGTACAAGATCACCAACCTGAAACTCAAGCTCGAACTGGCGTCTGTCTGCATAACTCTTATGTCGGCTCTGAGCGGTCAACAACCTCTGCCTGACCAGCTGAATCTGCTCGGTCGTCTGAAGTACAATCTTCGTGCTACCCATAACC